GGAAGGTCCTATTGGGCCAGATATTTAATGGGCTTAATTTTTTCACATTATGATGATCGAGTACCTTGAGTGCGTAATTCACTTAGATGCATCCCTTAATTGAATATCACTTGCTGAGAAAATTTGGTAACTAACATGTCAAAAAATTAAAAAGTGGTAATAGCTGAGAGAAATAAATATTAGATGAATTTGCCCCTATAGATTTAAATCTGAAAACAAATCCCCCAAAAATTATAGTATTCCTCTTATTTCTAGTCTTTATTTATGAAAAAGTAGATCTATTCTGCAAACAAAATTAAATTATATCAGAATACAGCCGTACGGATAAAAATGACAAAAAACAAATATGTTATAATAGTTAACTATTTAATATCATAGTTGACTATTTTTGAAACTACATATTCTATTGATATGAGAAGATAGTTAACTATCTCACACTATTTTGTAACTATATAAAACATAGTTAACTATTTTCATAAAATAGTTACAATTTAAAAGCATAGCTAACTATTTTTAGAGTATACTTGTCTAAGTCAACACAAAAATATTGTTATAATAGTCTCTTATACATTATTTAAGAAGTGATTTTCTCAAATTTGCTTATGTGTCATCACTAAAATCATTCTCACCAATTTTATTACCACCTTCAAGAAACCTAACAAAGCTAAAACATTTTATTTCAAATTAAAACAAAAAAATCGGTTAAATATACTTATCTCGAAAAAATTCTTTTTAAAGGATTACCAATAATTCGCTTACAAAAATATCTATCATATAAATGAGAATATTCTAATTAGGAAAAATTATAAAAATAATCCAAAAAAAAACTTAAATTAAAAATATAGGCCATATCTTTTAATATTAGAGATATACACCAAATTTGACTTTATTACCCTTAAGTTATAATTATTAAAAAAGTGATTTTTCTGTCATAATTATCAATTTATCGGCAAAATCTTTTGAAATCATATATAGTTTTTTTCTTTAAACTGATTTTTTTTTCATCTTCTTCGTTCTTATATCTTCCATCAGGGAGACAGTTGAGGATTATTTATAGTTGCATCCTTAAAAACCTATTTTTTCTCTTAACCCTTGCTTCGATAAGTCAGCTGCCGTAAGTTTAGATTGATCCGCGTCCGACGGCAACGCCGGCACCGGCTCTCCTTTGTTCATAAGCTCCCCTTTGTTTCTTTCATGCTCGTTGTGGTGTTAGGGTGAAAAAAACTGTTCGAGTTTTTTCTTGAAAATCAGACATATCCACATTAAAAATCATGGAAGGTTGCAATGTTTGATTAGTTTATGTTAGCTGTATACACTAGAACTCATTGAGGCTGAACTTTGTGTATCAAAGCAATCATCTCTCAATTCTTTGATTAGTTTAAATAATCTGAAAATTGATCCATGTTCCATTTATTTTTAGGCAATCCTGGAAGCTTGATCAGAAAAAAATGTGGATGGAATCAACATGAACTATTGTATTCCTAAGACAATTTCTTAAAGCAGAAGACGACAAAAACATGGTTGAATGGGTTATCCAAGTATTATAACTCTTGTATATTTTTATATTTTGTTCTTCTTTGCTTTTTTTTATGACCAAACTTCTGAAACGAATGTGTTTAGCGATGAGAGAAAATCACTATAGGAATCATTACGTTTAGAATTCACGGTGACATAAACGATAATATTTTTAATTTTGCTCTGAAATTTTAGGTTAATTGTAGTAATGGCATAAACGATATTTCATATATTATTTGGCTTATTTTTTTAATTTTCAAAGATTTGGTGTATTCTTTTAATTTATCTTAAAATGGTCTATTTCTTTAATTCTCCCTTCTAATTAATGGACGTTTCCAAGATCCAAAATTTATGTAACATCAATTCTAATTTTCAAGTATGGAAGTATTTAATAAATGGTAATATTCTATTTCAAAAAGAAAGTTAATAATTTTTACATTTCTGATTAATTAGTCGACTTGATATATTTAGGTATCATCAATTCCAAATTTAAAATATGAAAATCTTTAACAAAATCTCCACAATAACGATCTTGTGGAAATATTCGATTTAAATAAGAAATACCATATTCTGATTAATTGATGAACTTTTATGGAAATCGTTAAGAATATCTCCACAAAACCGGTCTACTTACATT